CTGTCTGGCGCCCGAACAAAAGTATTGATTACGTTTTTTTTTTTTTACTCTTAGGGCCACCACTGTTACAAACTATTATTTCAGCTCAAAGACTGATAGAAACATCTGTGAATGCCTGATGTAGACGGTGGTGCTGACCTGAGCGAATGAGGTCTGTGGGTTCAGCATGAGGTTCTTGAAGGTTCTCCTGAGGACCCAGTTGAACTGGTGGCAGAAGGACGTGCTGTAGGTGATGGTTCTGGATTTGGGTCGTGTGCTGTAGTCCTGTCCCTGAACGATTCGCTCCAGCTCGCTTTTGGTCTTTTTGTAGCTGGAGCTGTTCTTGTATTCTTCCACCAAACGGTCCTCGATGCCCTTCAGAGATGAACTCAGCTGCTCCTGGTCCAGGTCTGAGACACACAAACACATTTATTTAAACAAAAATTGTCTCGGGTTCTGATGGTATTATTATCTAAAAATAAAACATTTATATTAAAGCTGAAATAAATTCTAAATATTACATGAAAAACAAACTAAAACTATTTAAAATTCATTTTAAAGCTGAAAATAAAATAAATTCTAAATATTAGTCTTAGTCAGTGATGATATAAAACAAAAACTACAACTATTAAACAATTGTTTTAAAGCTGAAATAAGTTCTAAATATTACATGAAAAAACTATAACAGATTCCTATTATGGCTGAATAAAATAAATTCTAAATCCTATATAAATAGCTTAAAAACCCTTAAAGTATTAATAATTCATATTAAAGCTGAAATAAATTATAAATATTAATCTCAGTCTGTGATGTTATTGTTAACATTGATGACAAAACTTTTAAACATTCTTTTTAAATCTGAAAAACAATAACTGAATTAGAAGTATTAACGGAAGAAACTTAAACGAAAAATACAAATATTGCCTTGGCAACTAACTGAAATAAATAAGTTGAAGTACTTCAATTAGTAAAACTAAAACTGAAATAACAATAAAGCCAAATACACAATTACAAAACAAAAATAAAAACACATCAGTTCTTGACTAAAATAAGCTGCAAAATGATCTTTATACTGTGGAAGGGAAATTGTTGTACCCTCATTGTCGTATAACTTGTTGAGAGCGACGGCAGTGGATTCTCCATTGACGACATCCAGGAAGAAATCAGCAGGATTG